AGTGATCAGTAATTCATTTCTGAGTTTGAAATATTGGGTTTTTATAATGTTAGTGCATAGAGGGACTACAACCATTTAAAAGGTTAACTGCCTTTTGCAAGAGAGACAACTCATTCCTTTTTTTCTGGAATAGTTAAGGAACAGAAAAACAATCTTGCAATTTATGTGCAGGCTCAAAGCTGAAATTTGCCCAACCTTGGCTTATGGCTTCTGAAAATTATTTGAAAATACAGCCTAGAAAAAAAAGAAAACTGAGTGATTGCTCCCATCTCTTAGGAACAGGGCTAATAGGCAGCACAACTACAAAGAAATGACACTTTGATAAGTAAGAGACTCGACTCAAAGGAGATGGAAATATCTATTCTTTGCTGAGATTTATACCTGTCACTTCTTTGGCCTTTTAGAAAGAGGAGGAGCCATCCCACCATCCCACAAAATGAAATAAAGCTAGGCAGGGAAGGAAAAGAGATTGACCTCACAGCTACAGACAATAACAAACTGCAGGAGGAGAGCAATAGCCTGAAATTGATCAGAAAGGCCCAAGCACTATCATCGCCACAGAATATAGTGATCAACACATCAAAGTTAGTTCCTATAAATACAACATGAAAGAGAGCACATGTTTTGACAGCTTCTTGTCTCCTGGAGAGACATCAACTCCCAATAGGTGCCATAATGTATATAATTCTATCAATTGGTTGATGATTTAGTGGTAGCTTCATTTATCAAATTTGGTTCCTTTCAATGACATCAATGGAATGAGTTCCAGAGACAACAGAAGAAAAATTGGGGTCTTTATATGTAGCCCCTGAACACATTAAGTAATAGCAACACGGCAGACAATTGGTAGAGAAGAGGAAGGCTTAGCAAGCATATCTTTCTAAAAATATTTTTTGGGAAAATTTCAAAAGGAGAACAAACATTAAAGAAAACAAACTGCTGAGGTTTCATAAAAAGACATGAGCGTATATAAGTTTTTATGTCCCAAATATTGGATCCCCTTTTCTGTACTATGTTTTTGTTAAACTAATTTGTAAGATTAAAAGCCACTTCATAGCAGGAGTCTACAGGCATTAACGCAGTGTCAAGTGAGCAGAGTTCTAACCAGAGAGCATTTACTTTACATCAGTGATTCCCAACCTGTGGGTCCCCAAGTGTTTTTGCCTACAACTCCCAGAAACCCCAACCAGTTTACCAGCTGTTAGAATTTCTGGGAATTGAAGGCCAAAACATCTGGGGACCACAGGTTGAGAACCACTATATTAGACTGAATCTTTTCAACTAAGGTTGCTCCTATTGCACATTCCTACATCATACAGCCACTTAGAGAAGCTTAGAGAAGCTTGGAGAAGACAGTGATGCTTGGGAAAAGGAAAGGCAAAAGGAAAAGGGGCCGACCAAGGGCAAGATGGATGGATGGTATCCTTGAAATGACTGGCTTGACTCTGAAGGAGCTAGGGGTGGTGACAGCCAACAGGGAGCTCTGGCGTGGGCTGGTCCATGAGATCACGAAGAGTGAGAAGTGACTGAACAAATAAACAACAACAACAACAACAACAGCCACAAGAGTTGAAAGCACTCCACAAAGTCCCTGTAATCACATGATAAGAGTAACTCACCGTGAAGACTGGGTTTTTAACACGCCTTCTACAGATACACAGTCGTATGGAGAAAATTCAGATCCTGACATTACATGACAATAATTCAGCTCATAGAGAGGTTGGGGCAATTGTAAGCAGACTCATAACAGTTGAGATTTAATAAGTGGACTGTGAGCCAGACCCGAGGCTAACCTGCTTTTCATTTCATGCATTCCTTAACATAAAAAGCTATAGTATCACAGAGAGTAACAAGGGAAAGGAACATTATTAGGATTGTAATGGTGAGGTGTAAGACGGGTGTTGCACAGCAGGCAGGGGGAAGACACTGCTGCTTCCTACAAAGCAATGCAATAATCAGGCCAGAACACTTTAGAAAAACTGCTTGAGAAGAAGTATCTTGCCAACTGCATGAGAGAAAGGTAATGGGCTTATGTTATTTAAGAACACTAAATAACAAGGAAACTCTGTCACTTCAGCTGACTGTTTTCCCTTAACAATAGGCCCCCATTGCTACATAAACACAAAGTTCCTGCCCAACTGTGTATTTTCCAAGCAAAAAGACAATATCTTCCAATACCTGCTGTGACTTAAAACACTCCTATTAAGGCAGCTAGTGCAGGGAGATCTGTCATTAGTCACAAGGATGTACTTGACCTTCTGTATTCTGATTGGCTTATAGAGTTTCCAACAATCCTGACTATAATAATATGGAGTGCTCTGACTAAGCCATTAGTAACTGAAGGAGCTTATAAGCAAATAATGATTGGCTGGCTCCCTAAAAGATCAGTCAAGAACTGCTTTAACCTATAATGAGCTCAGTGCCAGTCGCAATACCACAGAATGGAGATAAGGAATTTAATTTTCTTTACTGCTAAATGGGATATATACAACTGGCAGCATGATAGGACACATTTGTACATCCATGCAGCATACACACAAGAAGGAATGTGCAGTAGCAGCACCCTTAGTTGAAAAGATTCAGTCTAATACAGTGGTTCTCAACCTGTGGGTCCCCAGATATTTTGACCTTCAGCTCCCAGAAATCCTAACAGCTGGTAAACTTGCTGGGATAACTGGGAGTTGTAGGCCAAAACACCTGGGAACCCACAGGTTGAGAACCACCGGTCTAATATGATCTAAGAGTACTTGCATGTTGAGGCTTGAGGACTGGATGGCTTTGGAAACCAGGGTTCAACTCCCAGCTCAACCATGGAAAGCGACTGGGGTGACTCTAGGTGAATCACACATTTTCACCATCAGAAAAACTTGTGATATGTTCAGTTGAGGGTCTCCATGATTTAGAAATGACTTGAAGGCACACAACAACCTGAGCCTAGGCCCAGCTTCACGTTCTTGCATGGCCCAGCTTTAAACTTGCTCCACTGGGGTACAAGAAACTGTCTGAAAGCTATATCCCCTGTACAAACATGCTAGAACATTAAAATGTCTTCTCTAGGTCCTGCCACCATCACAAGCCCACTTGGTTGACAGCCTTCTCAATGGCTGCTCCCAACCTCCCCTCCCTGCTTCTCTTTCATCAATAGGTTTTTAACATGTAAGCAAGAGATATTTTATGGGGTTATTTTATTGATTTTTTTTTATAAATTTGTGTATTTTAAAAAAAGTTTTATATTGTTTTATCAGATTTTTTTTAAATCTTATTGTGTTGTTAATTGTTTTGGAAGCTACCTAGATACCTACTCTGGGAGAAAGATGGCATACAAATGCTACAAGAAAACAAATAAATATTTGAAAACATCCTACTGGAAGATCCTTCTAGCTCAGGATCTTATATCCTGCAGAAGTCAACCAGGTTTCTCTGGGAAGTCCACAAGCAAGACATGAGAACACTGTGCTTCTCCTCCAGTGTCTGGTACTAAAATAAAAGCTCCATCTGAGTTGAAGGTAGCATACAGCCATCATGATAGAAGCTACTGATAGTCTGATCCTAAAGCAAAAACAGTGATATAATAAGAGTAGTAAATAAGCAGCACCATGGTCTCTCTGGAAGTCACTGAGCTACTAAGTATTTCTCCCTGACACCCAGCATATAGTGGATTTGATCTAGTCTTTCAACCAGAGTTCTTCAGGCAACTGGCTCTGAACTATATATTCAGATACCAGGGAGAATGACATTTTGCAGAATTGTGAAGTTGAAATAAATCAGGAGGGACAGATAAATGCACTGCAGAAATTTGGCCTCTGTCTTTATCCCACCATTTGAGAAAGGAAAACTCCTTTTGACTCATGGATATGAGATTTGCCCCCAAGGACATTCTTAGGTGTGACTTGTGGATTACATTCAAATGTCCCAAGTTAAATGATGCAAAATTTGCATCATAACCAGGCACACAGAACTGATCAGCCTCAAGTTGAATGCTGCTTACCTTGTTGAATTCCCTGTTGCCTCCTTTTCCTTAATGCAATATCTAGTTCTGTAAAGTAAGGATTACATGATTCAAACAATGAAAAAGTAAATCAAGCCAATTGCTCATGAAAACACTGTCTGTATCATTTGGTAGTGCTTCTTATAAGGTCTGCTATTTAAAAAAAAATCTTAAGACAACCGAAGATGCGAAGTAGAGTGCCACCACTCAAATGACATTGTGCAAACATTAGGTCTTTTCTTTGTTAACAAACTGTCTATGAGAAGAGAAAAAGCTGGAAGAGACAACTGTTAATAAGGTTGCAAGTGAAAGAAAAGTGTCTGGGCCACAAAATTATCAAATGAGCACATGCTTTTTGCACAGAAAGTGTTCATCTTATTAAAATCAAAATGCTTGTTTCCTGGGCACACAAAAAACTCTGATTATTTTATTTAGCTGTTCTGTTTCCTCTGCAAAATATTGATTTTTGCAAAGGAATTGAGGTGGGTTTTTTTTAAAAAAAATCATATTTTTAATGCAACTAAGCATATTTTCCCTGGAATTAATGTTTGCAAAAAGTTCCAGCATATAAATTGTCATTGAAAATGTTGCAGAAACTTGTGTTCTCATGAAGCAGAAGAAAATTGTTGATATTATTCATTGCATACAAGAATGATATAAGTGAAAATATACATCCCTAGTTCAATGTATGAGCAATACAAATCCCACCACAATTCAAGTTAGGCAAAATATACACTCAACGTATGTGATGTGACGATCTGGACACCAATAAGCCTTTCCGTAGGTATCATAATTCCATTGTTTACTGAGCTTTCTGTCTCCTGTGATCATTCCCCAACTCCCCATTACAATATGTGATGTTGCAAACTGAGATACTTTGTATAGAAAGATTGTTCTTTGAACCAAAGGCATTTCAGGTTGGGAGTCCCTTCAGGTTTGTAACTGCTGCCTGCTGGATGTGGAAAGTGCATGATGCTCATTGTTTTGTTTTGTTGTTTTTCTCACTCCTTAGAGAAAATATTACCCACACTCCCCAATCCTTTTCCAGGTCAGTATATGTTTTATGTCACAGTAACTAGTGAGCTGGGTCATTCTCCATCAATTCCATAAGCAAGATGAACCAGGGAAAGTAATGCAATTTAGATGGTCTTTGAAAAAATCCTCCCATCATGTCTAATTCTCCACTTGTTTCTAACCTTATATGTCCAACCCAACACTAACAAGATGAATCAGTTCTTAAACCTATGCATGTGCCAGCTGAAGAATGGGACCCTTCAATATATCAAGTTTTTTTTCATTTTCTTCTTGTTAAATGTCAGTCAAAATTGCATAAAGCCATATAGTACAAGGTTTCACAAACAAATACCAACTTAGAATGCATTGAGAATTTTCAAATTTCATCATTAACCAAGGACAGAAGGAGGTCATGATAGTGAGAGCTTTTTTAAATAAAAAATCTGCCCAATATATAAATATTGGTGAATAAAAAGATCTATGTTAGATCACACATGAAAAATTTAAAAAGATCTACATTAGATCAAACCAAAGGTATATCTATTTATCATGCTGTTCGTGCAGTAACCAATCAGTTGCTTGTGAAAAGCCCAACTGCAGGGCTGAAGTCCAGTTTGATTCATAAAAGCATGCTTGCCTTGAAACTGAACTGACAAATAATCATCTTGGCCAATAGCCATTGATGGGTTCATTCTCCAATATTCCTTATGAAGAATTTAAGTGGGCATTTCATTCTTAAAAATGGATCTCCGGTATGTGCTCCAATGTTTTACAATCCTGTGAGAGAATTATATCACATGCTCCCCAAGGAGCTACCTAATGTGAAGAGGTCATGGACAGAGAATTCTAATTCCCTCACAAAAGTACAAGTGCTGGGATCCCATAGGATGTTACTAGGGCTGTGAAAGTGGTATATAATTATATAACTGTCATATGAAAACATCCCAAGTAGGGACAGCCCATTTAAAATTATGTGCAGTTAGCTAACTAGAAAGAAACTCTGGTTATACCTTGATTACCACTTGGCTACAAAAGGAAGACCAAAAGGGAATGGAGTCTAGAAAGTCAGTATGGTGTAGTGATTTAAGCATTGGACTACAACTTTGGAGACCAGAGTTTGAATCCTCACTCAGCCATGGGAAACAAAGTCACATCCCTTAGCCTCAGCCAAAGACAACCCCCCCCCCCGACACACACACACCCCTCTGAAAAAAAATTGCCAAGCAAATCCCATTATAGGTTTGTTGTAGGGTCTCTATAAGTCAAAGACCATAAAATAACAATAAACAGATAAGATCCAAAGATAAGCCCTTGCAACATCTTGTCTGGGACACCCGTTCATATTAGGTTACCAACATGATCTATAGGGCCAAGGGCTGACTTTTTTCAATTTTGCATGTGATTCTTTACTTTTTGAATCTCTGTCATAAGTTGATTATCACTATTCAAGATAGGACACTACATAAGAGTTGAGTCAGTAATGTATTCATTTTATGAGTTTTCAACTAAAAATTTTCATACCTACTTAGAAATAAGTTTGATTCAATTAAATAAACCTTATTCCCAAGCAATGTCCTCTGCTTACTTTCCTAACTTAATGCAAGAGCATTTACATTTGAGTTAATATATGTTTAAGATCACATGGCTAGTGCCTTACTTTTGCATCTTTCAGTGCAAACTGACTAAACCAGATGTTGCCTTTAATTTCACAACATTTGTTCCAGAAAGGCTCCACTAGTTTCAGTGAGAAATCTTTACAAACACTAGATTGTTGGTGCAGCTATAGACTACAAATGGGTAAATAAAAGCCATATCTATGCATTAGTTAAAAGGAAAGCACATACAAAAAGAAGTAACTTCCAACTTAAATCCTTCACAGGTATTTTCAAATAACCGGAAAATGCACAAAGTAGGCCATTGGGAGACAAGAGTTAGAAAAATAAATCCAATTAAATATGATTACCACACAAAGCAGAAATTAAACTGTAGACAGATAACAAGAATAAAAAATTGAAAAGGCTGCTTTGGGTTTAGGATTTGCATCTTAAATTATTTAAATGTTGGGGTTATTCTTGACAAGGAGTTCTTCTTAAATTCATAAGCCCCATTGTGTCTCTTTTTAAAAATATACACACACAGGTACACTTTTTTTGTTCATTGTTTGTTTGTTTATACCAGAGGTGGGAATTGTGGAGATTGATGGATGTTGTTAAAATTGCAACTAATTGAAACCCTGGGCCTAAATAATATTGTTAGCCCCAGCAGGAATAGACCCATTGAATCAATGTGTTGACTCACCATTTAATAATTGTTTCTGTGAGTCCTCTTTTGTTAAGACTAATCAAAGTTTCAGGCTCTAGGTAACTAATTCAGAGTGAGGAATTCTGGGAATTACAGTTCAAAAAGACCTGGAGGGTCTCACAACTGGTTCATATACTTTTAGTTATCTATGAAGACAGTCACCAATGAAATGAAGGGATAAAAAGAGATCCTGCCTGCAAGTTGTCCATTGATGATTGATTGGCTCCTCTGTGAGCAGAATGCTGCAAACCAATAAAACCTTTCATGTCTTCACATGAGATATCAACAAAACAGTAATAATATAACTTTTATTTGTATTGTCAAAGGCTTTCATGGCTGGAATCACTGAGTTCTTGTGGGGTTTTTTGGGCTATATGGTCATGTTCTAGAGGCATTTCTCCTGACGTTTCGCCTGCATCTATGGCAAGCATCCTCGGAGAATGCTTGCCATAGATGCAGGCGAAACGTCAGGAGAAATGCCTCTAGAACATGGCCATATAGCCCGAAAAAACCCACAAGAACTGAGTAACTTTTATTTGTATACCGCTCTATCTCCCCAAGGCTACTCAGGGCAGTTTCCAACACAGGCAAAACTTTCAATTGCCAAATGACACAAAAACCATACAAAAATAAGCATGATAAAAAACATCAACATAAATCCTACAAAAAGCAATCACAAACATTTAAAACCAGTTTCAGTTTTCTCCATCAACAGGAATTCAGTTATCAATGGCCAGGGATTTCAAAGTGGACCTAGTAAGCTATGAAAGGTCTGGGCAAGGACTAGTGTAATGAAGTAGCATAGGGCCAGGGAAAATGATAAAGTATAGGGCAGGGTCCAGGCTGATGGTCAAGGAAGGGCCTGAGACTAATAATTTCCAAAGGCCTGCGGAAACCACCAAGTTTTCAGGACCCTGTGAAAGGAGGACAGTGATGGGGCTTGTCTTATCTCTCTGGGGAGGGCATTCCAGAGTTGGGGGGCCACCACCGAGAAGGCCCTCTCCCTCATCCCTGCCAATCGTGCTTGTGATGGTGGGGAGAGCAAGAGAAGGGCTGCCATGGCAGATCATAAACCTGGCGCTGGTTCATTGGGGGAGATGCGATCGCAGAGATAGGCAGGGTCCATATCATTTAGGGCTTTGTAGTTTATTACCTGCACCTTGAATTGGGCCCAACAACTTATCAGCAGCCAGTGGAGCTACTTTAGTAGGGGTGATGTACCTTCCCAGTAAAAATCCAGATCAAAGCAACATATATGAGACATGTTAAGCACAATTTAACATTAACGTGTCCTTGTTGAAATGTGAATATTCTTAATTGTATTGACAGATGAATAAAGGAGGAGGTATGGCAATGTCCTCTGGGCTGTTATTTCAGAGCTTTGGTGCCACCACTAAGAACATCTGGTTTCATGTTCATTCCTGTCTGTTTTTCTGCATTGGACTGATAAGAGCCAACTTCCCAAAGCTGATCTAAAAGCTCAGGAATTTAATTAAATTATATTATAAATTTGTAGTTTAGCTAGCTAAAGCTACATGGGTGGCACTTCAACAAAAGTTTCCCATTTCAGAGATTTGTAGGGCTAAAATACTAAATTCCTTACTGAAGAACACAATAAGACTTACTTCTGAGTAGTTTCATGCAATCCCATTCTAAGAATAAAGTCTATAGGAAACAGCTAGGATCCACCTTTGAATAAACGTATCTAGAAATGCATTGCACCCTTCTTTGAACCAGGATTTTTAACCATTCACCAATCATAGAAGATGATCACTAATTGTGCATACATGAATTGTGTATTCAAACTGTCAGGACTATTACAGTGAGAGAAGAAATATATTGTGAGCTATATGTCTAAAAGTTTAACTCCTCCATAAACGTTCCTGCTACTTTGCCTTATATTTATAATATTTAATATGACACTTTCCATGCTTGAGTTAATGTTCAAGCTCCCTTGCTTTTCATTCACATAAGTTATATCTCAGTATTACTTCAGTGCACCCAGGGTTATTATAAGAATTTCACTGAGCAAATCTATAATTTTAATATGTAGGGCCTTTATTTCTCTGCCAAATGTTCCCAGCAGTTTCTTTGCCATGGGCAATTAGCACAGGCATTGGTGCTTTACTAACTGTTCAATCTACCTTTGCAATTCACCTTTCATTGAGCCTCAGGAAAAATATTATTGAATGTCTAAACTATGTAGACATGGTTCTGTTCTCAGACAGAAATGAATTCCTTTGAAATCATATCCGATCACCCTTGCTTTGTAAGGATTAGGACATAGATATAGTGCTTGGTTGTTGTTGTTTTTCAACAAATTAGCATTTCTTGATCAAAAGGGCATTTTACAAAAGCACATTCATTAGTGAGTTGCTAGGATATTAAATCCACTACTCATTTTGAAGACTTTTTTAAAAAAACATTAGAATCAGTTATCTTTCTTGTAAAACAGCCTATTTTCTATATAACTTCTGAGCTATCTCATCGCTCAGAGAATGTCAGTAATATGCAGTAATCAGATCTCATGGTGACCAGATAAGTTATTCTCAGAATATTTAAAAGGTTTCCAGGATAAATAACATCGTGGTTTCCAGAATTACCTATGAAAAATTGATCTTCTAACAAACTAAATTTCAGTGATTTTAAAGATCCAGCATTCTTTGAAGTTATTCCCCACCCCCTGCCTGCCTGCTAAATGTGCTGCAGGATTCCAGCTGCTTCTGTACATGA